TTTGACCCGAGAACTGCCTGAGGCTGAGAACGTGTTCACAACATTTTGTCCTACATTTCATTTCCATAATTCATTTCTCCTGGGACAAAGAAATCTTCAGTATCTCAGTCTTATCACACTTCCACGGTCACTATTTTGCAATAAATTCGATTTTTGCTTTGACTTTTTCAGTCTCAAAAAGCTCCAGAGCATGAAGGGTTTTTTTCCCCTCTCACTACAAATAAGGATTTTGCCAATGCAGTTTTTGATATTTGTCAAAAGATGGAACAGTCTTTTATTCAAAACTTAAAAACTCAGTCACACAGAATTTAAATATTCAACATACTCAATTTCAGACCTGGTGCCTCAAGATGAGTTTGACATCAACATCACATGAGATTTGAGAGCTGTGACCATTTTTATTACTTATAAACTTAAATTTCTCTATAAACTGACTTCAGAAGAGTTGAAATAGCATTTTAACCCCTTACCACAGTCTACCTACTTTTTACTGTTTATGGAAAACATTTCCTTTCGTGCTCTGTTGAAGAAAAAATCACATGGATTTCAAATGTGCATAAATGATGACAAATTATTATTACTTTAAATAACCTTGCTATTTTGAAATAAAATGACAAAGAGGTGCTTAACCTTTAGAAAACACTGCCTTGTTTTAACTGTGCAACTGTCGCAATCTTTGCAACCCTGTTATGAAAATACAATTTATAACACTGATGTGTCATTCGTTTTTCAATCAATAAAACTAACTTAAAAAATAAAATAAAATAAAGAAATAAAGCGTATAAAATAAAACAATTTTAAAAATGTAAACACTTAGAGTTTGGAACTAATTCTGGTAACCAAAAACATAACCACATTATAATAAATTTCATGATGATGAATGCAGGTTTCTCTAAAGATTATAAAATATGTAATATTTTAATAATTAATGATCTGCAGTATACAGAAAATAATTGATTATTATTAAGCTGATATGCTACATAGTACATCCTACACAGACCATATGTGCTGACTGTATTTGTGACAAGAATGTTTTAATCTTTCTTTCTAGCAGTTCAAAGATAAGATGAACCAGCAACCAGAAATACATCCTTCCAGCAAATTTAAAACAAGACAAAACTAAGAACTTTTCACTGCTATAAAGCCAAGTCAACCATTTATTTCAAGTCTTTCTAAACCCAAACAGATCTGCCATCGGACCTGCCATATGCTCGCTTCACACACACTTCCAGTTTCAGAGCGATGCGCTTGTTAAATATAACACTTGGTCATGCAAATGTACGAGAGGAGAAAATTGACTAAATATTAATTCAGCTATTAGAAATTCATGATATGACTTGATATGATACACATTTATGAGATGTGCACAGGTACCTACTGATTCAAAGACTTCTGACATTTTGAATTCTGTAAGAAACATTTTTTTACATATCTATATATTCGCAACATACCTCTGAATGTTGTAAGATTTTCTTTGAGGTGTACAGTTTAATCAAACAGGAACAATTTTACTCTTTTTCAATAAAGGATTGAACAAACAGAACAGAAATTCTAGCAAAGAAACAGCAAGTAATAATTACATTTTGAAAGACTGAAATACTATTTTCTTGTAAAACCTACTTCAATAATGTCATTTGAGTATGACTGAGATACTATTATATACACTGAACAAAATTATAAACGCAACACTTTTGTTTTTGCCCCCATTTTTCATGAGCTGAACTATATATAGAAATATTGCTTTGAAATATTGCCTAACTTTAATGATCATAAATATTCATTTAGATATTTGATTATTCCGCACTCAATACTTTCAATTATCCGTTCACTGGGGACCCAATGTCTCTTTTAAGTCTCACGTTGACCTTACGTGGATCTTATGATCACAAATTTGCCAGTCTGATGTTAGTCAGAGGTTTAGGTAGACTAATACCTGTTTTGCCTGCTGCCTACTGCTTGCTTATGACAAAAAGTGTAATTCACTTAGTCCTTTCCCGTACAACTTGCTAACATCGGCGATAGACAGAAATCAGAAGGTCTCCAATGACAATGATTTTTAGTGTATTAGAGCAAATCTGCAACCTGCAGTTATTTGTTTCACATGAAAAGGTAAGCCAATCAAAACTGAGGCTTTTTACATAAAGTCTTAAAGGTACAGTATAAAAGACACCCGGTTCACGGTTCAGCTTTAAATGTCAGAAAAAAGTGTAAAATTGTAGTGCAAAACTAAATGAGCAGTGTATGAGGCAAGAAACCTTCACTAACATTATAAGTGGACTGCATGAGAACACATAAAATGCTTCAACTGTGCAATATGAGTCTTTTGAGTGTCCTATAACTACTAGTTTATCCACTTTGAGCACATATGTGGAGAAGGCATTAAAAGAGTGACTCAATGCAGTACGCTGACTTGAAATAACCATTAAATTCAAACAAGATGGGGACAAAAATACTTTTAATAGTTTGAGCGAGGATTTCTCAGGATGCGTTAACTGGCGTTGAACTCGGATATGCTCTTGAATGAGCAATTAATTTGATTAAATAAATAACAGAACAAAAATTAATGCGGTTTTTCAAGCTGAGAGATGAAAAATCTTCTTGAACTTGTATGGCATCTTGATGTCCTGTGGTAAAAGTCGAGTCGTTGTTGAATCAGATGCACATTTCTAAATTAGCCGTGCTGAGAGGCAAATCATTTTTCAATTTGGCGCTGACAAGGCAGATATTAGCAAAAACACAAAAAGCATCATGAAACATTACAGACAACAGCAGCTCAAAACAAACAAAGCCACTCAGGACAAACATCAATGAAAAAAAAATGCTCTTTGGAAACGCAGCAATCTTCAACGGTACATCAAGAGTTCATGTTTTTCAGCACAGCAAGTTGCAATCAAATCAATAGGTCGAAGTTGCAACCGTGAAGAACTGAAGTAAATAACATATAACTACATGGCTTACAAAGTACACTTCAGTGCAGCTTTGGCCTTCAGTAGAACACAACAGACAATTCATCTATGAAATTAGAAAGTCAACAATTTCCAAACATTTCCTTGCCACACACTCAAAAAAGGATCAAGCTGTCGTAATCTCAGAAAAAAAGGTACAAAAGCCGTCACTGGGGCAGTACCTTTTTGAAAGGTACTAATACCTTATGTACTATTATGTACCTTTAATGTACTTATATGCACCCTTTAGGGATAAATAAGGTACACTCTAAAAAATCCTGGGTTATTTTTTCAACCCAAATGCTGGGTTGAGCCCTTTGGGTCATTTCTTGTGGTTATTTTTTTCAGTGTTTGGGTAGTTTAGTGTTACTCAGATCCTGGGTCAGACGTAACCCAGTAGTTGAGTTATTTATCGCGGGGTTTTTGCATCCTCTTCAGGAGAGAGCAGTTCTAAGCGCCATCGAATTGCTGCATTTCTTCGGTAAAATACAGGTTTGCGTACATTTTATTTATCTGTAAAATCGTTACAGTGCTGTATATCGTTCAACTTTATGCAAAGCATCAAACAGGGGCGCGGTGTGAGTCACTTACACGAGTGTCAAGTCGGTCTTTTCGCGTGATGGAAAGGACTGGCTTGCTTAAAATAAATGATTTTATTCATAAAGATACAGAATATAAATACTTTGAATGTTAAAATATGTCCTCAGAGCTGTTTACTGTTTGTTTCTGGGCAGGCAGGTTATGGAGTCATAATGCTGGGTTAAATAAACAACCCAATTTGCTGGACAAAATTAACCTAACACGTGTTCTGTCCTATATTTACCTGGCCCTTGGGTTAAAAATAACCCAAATTGGGTTGTTTTTAACCCAGTGTTTTTTATGTGTACCTTTCGGAAGGGCACTGCCCATGTAACAGCTTTTGTACCTTTTTTCCTGAGAGCACTCAAAAAGGTACAATTTTGTGCCTTACCCCTAAATGATAATATTAGAAATGTAAAAGTATATAAAGTGTACGTATTAGAAAGGGTACGACCACATTAACATTTACGACCATTTGTAGAAAAGAAATAACAACTTTAAAAAAAAAAGATTATTGAGACAATAGACATCTTAAAGGTTGGTGCAAAATTTGGTTCTGGCACTTTGCATTAATACACAGAGTTAAAAATAAGGCTTACAAATCTTGAAGTCAAATTAACGCTCTTTTTGATAAAAAGGGGTGCTTAACCTTTAGAAAATGTAGTTTGTCACCTTATTCTAACTGTGTCTGCATTGTCTGCAACCCTGTTATGAAAATACAGTTTTTAACACTGAAGTGACAAATTCTGGTGTGTATAATAAAACAAAAACAAATGAATTTAATAAATGATAAAATAAAACAACAAATAAAAAGGTGAACATCACATAGTAGGAACTAGTTAGTTTGGACCTAATTCTTGTTTGTAGTTATTGATTTAAAAAAAAAAAAAAAAAAGCTAAGAAAAAAGTATATACGTATACTTTCATGCCATGTTCATTTTAGGCCAGATAATATTTTATAAGATATTTCACAGTTCTCTCTCTACACAAAGTGAGATTTTTTATCTTGGTTTTAAATCAAGTAATGGGACTCCAACTTGTAGCTTGTTTGTGAAAAGAGCCTTTTAAGAAGAAAAACCCCAACGTGATTTAACAGTATGACCCAAACGGGCAACGAAAGCAGAAGAGCAAATTAAAAACACTTCAACTTTTAATTCTTGCAGTATGTAAATCACTCGATGGTTCAAATGGCGCTCAGAGCTGTTTTAAAGTCATCGACACCATCTGCGGGTGTAATCGCTTTGTAAACCTCGTTTGAGAGAAAGATGAACAACAAATGATTCGGGAACAGCAAACTCTTTGATTGAGTTCAGTTCTGTCTATGGTTCAACCTACAGAGTCTCAAAGAGCTGGAGTCCTGATGAATGTAAACACTTTAATGTTTCTTGCGTCAAAAACTCAAACAAAGAGGATTTGTAACGTTGAGGCAAATCGTCATTGATTTCAGTCTCCAAAAACTGAGTTTGTTGAGGCCAAAACGGGGGAGATTTCAATTACACACTCTTTCTATGGTTCAAAAGGTTACATCAGTCACATGATGGTTGGATAAAGCCGATGAAAAAACTCCTGGGTAATGTTGTTCATGTCATATTTGCAGCTCCAGGGCTTTATGAAGGTCCTTCGACGTTGATGGTGGTGACCGTAGCCATGAAGCAGCGCTGGAACAGGCGGTCCGGGTCGGGAGGCTGGTTGTCACAGTCTAGTTTTCCCCTTAGGAAATGCTTGCGGAAACCCTGCGGTCCCGACGGGGCGCTTGGTTCACTCGAACCCTCCTGAGTGGGCCCAGTTCCTGAGAAACACACAACAGAAACCATTAGACATTTTTATGAAGAGTTTTCTGCTGTTTGCCTGTACAAAACTCACTGGTAAATACAAATCTACAAGGATGCATTGACAATACTGAAGGACGTATAACTATAAAAATAGCATGCATGGATGGGGTCAAACAAATCTGTTAATACCTCCTAGTGATAAGGGATTTTCAATTTAAGAACAGCTTTATTTTATTATTATTTGTAAACTATTGCATTATTATTCTTTTCTTTTTTAGAATTTGCTTTTATTTTATATTTTCAGTTTTTATTTTAATTTTATGTTTTAATAATTAGCTTTAGTAATTTTAGTACTTAATTTTTTTTATTTCAGTTGGTTGCCAAGGCAAAATTTTTCATTTTTGTTTCAGTTTTTTATATTCTATTTTAGTATTTATATAATATTTGTGTCAGACTCTGTTCCTTGTTTTGTGTGCGTTTTGCTCCCCATGTGCCTTCCATGCCCTTATTTGGTCCTTCCTGTTCCTGTCCCCATTTAGTCCAGGTGTTCCTTGTTATTAGTTATCCTCCTCACCTGTCTGCCCCTCGTTATCTGCCCTATTTGAGTTCTAGCCCATTCCGTTCTCTCTTGTCCGGAATTGTGAATGTCTGTTTATGTCAAACTCTCCTGTTACGTGTGTTTTCCTGGTTCCCTTGTGTTGGATGAATAAAGTCTCCTAGTTGATGTACTCCACGTCTCCTCGTTCCTCGCTCCCTCACAGTAGCGAATGTGACAGAATATCGGACCAAAACAGAAAAGTAAGCGGCGCCCCTTCTCCCGTGTTTTTGTTTTTTGTTTTATAAGTCTTTTGTTTTCCATTTCGTTTCTCCCCGCCAACATGGAGGAACGAGCGACGTTCATCGCCGTGGCTCAGGTGAGCCACAACCCGCTCACCTACGCGAGGGCATTTGTGCTGCTCGCCCTTGCCAGCTCCCTGGATGGGGAGACCCTGGTGACGCTGTTCCGGCTCGGGATCACATACCATCGCCCCGCGGAACTCCCAGACACCACCAACCTCGACTGGAAAGAGGTGGTCATCCGGTGTCTGGAGAGCCTCCAATCCCGATCCGGAGCCCCTCCGCCGGCATTCTCAAGCCAGCTGGAGGTTCCTCAGTCAAGCCCGCTGGCCACGGCTCACTCAAGCCCGCCGACCACACCTTTCACCCCGAACCTAAAGGGGAATCTAAGGAGGAGAAGGCAGTCGGCTCCAGCCCCAGAGCTCGCTCCAGTGTGGGCTCCAGCCTCCGAATCCAGCCTAAAGAGGGCTCCTGTTCCCGAGTTTAGCCCACGGAGGGCTCCAGTCCCCTGCCATGGCCTCCTGAGTTCCCTACTCCGCCATTGGCTCCTGAACTGTCTGATCCGGCATGGCCTCCTGAGTCCCCTGCTCCGCCATGGCCTCCTAGTCTGCCTGCTCCGCCATGGCGCCCCGAACTGTGTGATCCGCCATGGCCCCCCGAGTTCCCTGCTCTGCCATGGCTCCCCGAGCTGCCTGCTCCGCCATGGCACCCTGAACTGCCTGATCCGCTATGGCGCCCCGAACGGGTACCGCTCTGGAGGCCTGCTGTCCCGTGTCTGTCTGTCCAGTGCTCGTTCCTCGCTCTGCGCTCCCTCACAGTAGCGAACGTGACAATTTGTAATTATTTTAATTTTGATTTAAGTTTTAATAATTAAGGTTTGTGTCTTTTTATTTATTCGTTTTTGTTTTTTAATAATTCTATTTAGCTTTTTATTTCAGTTTTAGGCATTTTAGTACTGCAACTAATTTTCAGTTAGTTGCCTAGGCACCATTTTTGTTTAATTTTTTAAATATTTATATTTTTGCTTTATTTCAATTAATGATCGATGGTTTTATGATGTTCAATAGTTTTAGTTAGCAATAACAGCTCAATACAAGCACAGTAGTCCAAGACACTCAAAATAGAATTTAAAAATGAAAAAGCTTTTATTACGTCACGGCTTATAAAGATAAAACACACACACACACACACACTGACACATAAAAGCCTTTAATACTGCATGGAGAAATCTCACACTGAGAGCGTTTACGAACTATAGCAACACCTTACAAAGACTCGGTGTGATATTTTCCCAGTTTGAGTGCCGTGGACTATTTTTTTTGTGTTAAATATGTACTGGGCATTATGATGCATTATCAAGAGCTTTTTGCACAGCTCTCATGGGACATTTCAGAATTTATATTACAAGACGTACAAGGTGAAAGTGCCTTTTAATATTTATATGCTCAAATATTGTCATGCATGCTAACAGGACCTAATTTGCAAGGCTTTATCGTTTGTAATAATAAAACCATATAGTACCTAAACAAGAACATGACTAAATAAAATGAGTTATCCATGCTATTAGATGAGTTATTGAGATATTGACATATTGAATTAACTATCTAAGCATGTTTGATCAATGGCACCCTCAGCTACAGAACAATGATTTAACATGAAATCTTCAAGACAAAGTGACTCCTCAAGCTCTCACGGATCAGTACATCAATTAAAATCCATGTCTGTTGAGTGTTGAGAAAGGACAAATGAGATGTCGTTATTTCATGCAAGAGAATAGCTAAATAAATGTCCTCAAAAGCACTCCTGAAATATTAATAACTATAAAAAATGGGTAAAAACAGCACAGACTCGTATCAAAAAAATCAATTTCTGTTGAGTGTTGAGAAAGGACAAATGAGATGTCGCTATTTCATGCAAGAGAATAGCTAAATAAATGTCCTCAAAAGTACTCCTGAAATATTAATAACTATAAAAAAATGGGTAAAAACAGCACAGACTCGTATCAAAAATGTGCCAATCATTTTATTTTGGCAGTATGCAACAGAGCATACACATCCAATGTGATGAATGAACATACACTGCAATAAATAATATAATATAAATGTATTATAATATATATATATATATATATGTGTGTGTCTCCAACTGCCAAGACTTTGACACTGGAATACAAATCAAAATTAAATATGCAAAATAATGATGTTATGTGGCAACTGCTTGCACCGTTTTCTTCCTTGGGTGAATCCCTTCTGGTTGTATTATTCTAGTTTGAAAGTCGCTTTGCATAAAAGCACCTGCTAAACAGAAGAAATGCAAATGCTGTGCTGTTTTTGCAGTCGAGTAAATCTCTCTGAGGAGAAACAGGCTGTCAAGTATTCTCCTCGTCTCTGTAGTGTTACGTAAAGACTCCTGTTCAAGCACAATTGATCGCTCTGCAGTGCAGACTCTCATAAATGACTGTGAGGAACCGTCTTTGATGTTCACTGTATCTTCAACCTTTTTTTTTTTTTGAGTTTAACAGGTAATCTTGTACAATACATACTTCACTGCCTTGAATCCTTGAGGGTTAGCTTTAGAAAGACCGAAAAAATGCTATGAATGCACACTGTTAAGCAATGAAAGGTTGCTTTGATTTAAGAGACTGCACAAAAAGTGAAAACGATGAGGGAATAAGAATAAAAAGAATAGTTGTAGTAATATTATTTATATCTTACATTTACCAGATTAGTCCCTCAAAACAAATTAAACGTAAAACTCCTCAAAATACTGGATAGATAGATAGATAGATAGATAGATAGATAGATAGATAGATAGATAGATAGATAGATAGATAGATAGCATTAGAACTTTCAGGAAACATTTAAAAGTGCAAAATAATAAAATGGAACATTCTCTTTATGTTCTCTGTAATGTTCATATAACATTCTTCCAGTAACATTAATAGAATGTTTGTTCAAAGTTGTTTGGTCTTTAATATTGTTTGCAAAATGCTAGCACAAATATATATATTTATTTATACATTGTTGGAATTTATTTTTCTGAAATTTTTTTTTTAACATTTGTAAAATTATAAAATTGAACATTCCATTAATGTTTTCTCTAAAGTTCGCATAACTAAGAAAAATGTTTTTAAACCATTTAAAAAACTGGACGTTTTGAAGGTTCAGAGAACATTCAGAAACAACATTTTCATAACTTAACGGGAACATTAGCAAAACGTTCTATAAATGCATCTGCTTGTTCAGGCCACATACAGTACACGAGTTTTACTCATCCCAAAATGCAACTACATCAGCAATCGCTGAAGAGATTTCAGCCACCTCCTTTTGAAATTGCAGCAGCACTAGATTGGGGATAAATATCACACAAAATATTCTAACAAATACTGAAAATTCAAAACCCATAATGGATCAGAAAAATAATATAGGTGGTGATTTTGTCTTCATGTTACACTCTCAGAAAAAAGGCAGCTGTCACTGGGTTGGTACCAGTTTTTTAATTAATGCATATTGGTACCTTAAAAGGTACATATTAGTATCTAAATGGTGCAATTTAGTACCTTTTAAAAAGGTATCGCTCCAGTGGCAGCTTTTATCTTTTTTCAGAGAGTGTATAGATACAGAAGATAAAAGGAGTAAATTATTGATGAAATGAATGTAATTCTTCAAAATAAACTTGAATTAAATGTGGTGTGTAGATGAGGTGAAGGGTCATTCTCTCAATGGAAACAGATGAAAAACCCATCTATTAACCTTGACACCATATTTCACAGGAATTGCATTAACCGCTTAAATCAGAAACAAGTTTTTGTGGAAGACAGAAAAGGTCAGAGGAGGCAGAGACATGAAAAAATGAAAGAAAAGAAAAACACCCCCTGCAATACCTTTACACATTGATTTCTAGATCTCCTCTTTTCATGCTGAAAACCAAAAAGTGTCATGGATGGGGTCTCTGTAAAATAACAAAAACTGATGTCTAGGGTCTTTTTGCAGAGTTTGAGAAGAAAACATGAGACGCTAAAGGCCACGGGAAGAGTACACTGCAGACAAAATTACATCAATTGTTGTGGGAAAGACAAGGATAAATGGAGGCAGTGAGACCGTCCTCGTCCTCTCATCCTCCAGCTGAATGAAGGATTGTTTTGCGGTGTATGTTTTAAAAGTTCATTTGTAATAGGTTGAGGTGTAGGTTTAGGATTTCTAACAGTGTATGTGGTTTCTTGTTGGTTTAAGTCAAAATAAAGCCCATAAAGTCACCATAAAGTCTCTGCAATGCAAGTTTGTGGGACTTTTTATTGTCCACTTGGCAAAAACTGTCAGAAAAAAAAAAAGGAAAGATCACTGACTTTTGCCTTAGCAATCAATGTAAACACTCTAACTTAAACAGATAAACAAGTCAAATGTATTGATCTCATTGTGATTCGGCACAAGAGAAAAGTCCTTTTGTTTTGCCATCTCTCATTACGACAATATAAATGACTCTTATGTGATCTTAAATGTCAACTTAATTAGATGATCTGATGAATCTGTATAAATGTCTACACTTTTGGTGTCGTGGTGTGCTGACTTCCTCTCATTTTTCTGCTTTAAGTTATTTTTGTCTGAGCACCCACTTTAAGCAATTTGCCAGTGATGTGCGTGCTTGTTTTGTGTTTGCTTAATTAAGTGGACCAACTCTTTACAAATCCCACTATTTTACACATTTTGTCTGACTCAGAAAAATAAGAATGAATTCTGATCAATATTTGTCTTATTTCTCTCACATCAGATGAGATGTGTCTCAGTTATTGGCAATCTAAACAGTTGTTGTATGAACAAAAGACACAAAAGGAGACATGCACACTTAGGAACTGCCAGCAGTACATAGAATATAATTGATTTCAAGTAATACAAATTAAAATGCATGTCAGTACAACAGATATTACCATGATGCATGCACTATTTTAAGAAATTATTATTTTTACTGTAAAAAAACCCAGGCCATTCAGTATGAATCATTGTATGAACATCTAATGTTTGATTACTGATAAATTACAGGCCATTTATGCTAATGTGCTCCATCATGCTACAGTCTGATTTCAGCCTGTTGTTGTATTGTATAGACATTTACTCTTATAATTTGTGTAGTTATCATGAGTAGACACTTAATTTTGACAGAGGAGAGAAACATGTTCTCAAGCATGTGTTAATGAGCTAACAGAAGTAATTATGACCCTTTGGATCTTAAGAGAACATTACCGCTCAACCCAAAGAACTGAATGTCATCTGATTGTCTCATTAAACCTCTCCATCTCCGAATCTTTTAATTTTCTCTCTCAAATCTTGACCTTTTGCCAGTTAAGCATTATAATGCATATTTTTATATATAGACTTGCATAAAGTGCATTCTGAACCCTGTAACTTAGTGTGTGTACAAGATGGGTCACATTTAACCTCAAAATCAAAAGAAAAAAATCTGCATTATGAACATGAAGCCTGGTTTTTGGACCATTAAGATTTCTTTTGCATTGTCACATTATTTTTAAGACATGACAATGATAATCAGAGGTCCTTGAAAGCACTTAAGCGGCAAGTGGAGAAGTTTTATAAAACCTAATTATCCAGAAATAAAATTGTCATCTATTTAATGATCTGTTATAAACTACATCATTGGGGGGAATCTACTTAACCCTTGTGCTGTGCTGAAAATCCTTTGGTGTTCACGGTTGTTGGGGCAAAATCAAATTGACTCTCATCAGCATAAGAGACAAACTCACTCTTAGTGTCTTTTAAAGGTTTTATTCTTTGCAAAGAAGGTCAGACATCGTACAGGATACAAGTCACTGCAGAGTGTGACAAGGAAGGGAGGGCGCTCCTCCGCTTTATATCTCTTTTCCAAGTCAAGGTTACAAACTCTTATCAGCTGTATTTTTCCACATATGGTAAGAAAGTCAAAAACACACTACTATATCATACTTCTAAAGTTTGGTTCCCCCTATATTTAGGGCCTAGGTGACCCCCTCTTTGCCTCTTTGGGATGGCACTATAATGCACCGTTCACTTGCAGAATGCAAGCTTCTGGAAGGCACATCATTCTGAAGTAGTAAATTTAGGTAATGGGGTGCAGAGCCAGTGGTTGATTTTTAGGCAAACATCAATGCCTTGAATTTTATGCAAGCAGCTATTGGTAGCCAGCACAAATTGATGAACAGAGGTGTGACGTGCTCTTTTCGGCTTGTTAAAGACTAATCTTGCAGCCGCATTCTGGATTAGTTGTAGAGGTTTGATAGAACTGGCTGGAAGGCCTGCCAAGGAAGCACTGCAATAGTCCAGCCTGTACAGAAGAAAAGCTTGAACAAGGAGTTGTGTGTAGCATGTTCCGATAGAAAGGGCCTGATCTTCCTACTGTTGTATAAAACAAATCTGCAGGACCGGGCAGTTTTAGCAATGTGGTCTGTGAAATTTAGCTGATCATAAATCACTACTCCAAAGTTCCTGGCTGTCTTTGAAGGAGTTATAGTTGATGCGCCTAGCTGGATGGTGAAACTGTGATGAAGTGATGGGTTTGCTGAAACCACAAGCAGTTCTGTCTTGGCATTGTTGAATTGTTATACATGCTGAAGTGCAAGCAGCTATCGTCGGACCATCAGGATGGAAAGAGAGGTAGAGTTGAGTGTCATCAACATAGCAGTGATGGGAAAAGCCATGTTTCTGAATGACAGAACCTAGTGATGCCATGTGGACAGAGAAGAGAAGTGGTCCAAGAACTGAGCCCTGAGGCACCCCAGTAGTTATATGTTGTGACTTGGACACCTCACCCCTCCAAGATGCCTTGAAGGACCTATCTGAGAGGTAAGACTCAAACCACTGGAGTGTTCCTAAAATGCCCTTTGCCAATAGGGTTGACAGAAGGATCTGGTGGTTCAAGTGTTTTTGCAATGAATGGATGAAGGTATATAATTCTGTAGTTCTCTAAAAGTGCTGGGTTAAGTGGGTTTCTTATGTAGTGGGGTTATCTGAGCCTGTATAAATGCTGAGGGAAAGACACCAGTGTGAAAGGATGTGTTAATAAATCAATCTTTTTATCAACTTGTTTTCTTTTCAGTTAGCACAGATTTTGTATTTTATTTTGGAAATGACTGATTGTGGGCCTCATTGATACCTTGTGTGAGAAAGAGTCTCCGGGTCAAAATGACCGGAACACAACATGGGAGTTAATAGTCATGAATATAAATGTCACAATACAAAAAATAAATAAATAAATAAAACAAAATAACAACAACTAATAATTTGTATGCAAAATATGATACATTTTTTCATCAGATTTTGGGGTGAAATATAACCTGGACAAGTATAGCATCAGTACATGCTATTGGAAAAAGTAAGTATGTACACAAGTAAGTAAATAAATAAAAATTAAAAAGAGAAAGTATATAAATCATGGACATTACCCAGACTTGCATAATCACAAAAATATTTCATTAGCAATGTTTTGGTTAATCGTTTTTGTCTAGTTTATATTGTACTTTCATCCCACACAATGCCAAATAATTTGTGTGTTTAAGACACTAAGTGTCTTATTGCAAACATTTTTTCAATCTTTATTACTTTTTTAGAAATAACTTTTACTGTAACTTCTGTTCTGATCATACTGTTGTCCTTCCTGTTTTGTCTCATTTTCCAGGGAAAATGTCTAAAGATTCTTAAAGCAAGATAGACTAGAAAAAATTTTTTTTCTGAGAAATTTAATTAAAATTAAGTGAATTTTGATTTAACAAGAACAAATATTTGCTTAATTCAAAGGGAAACAGGTTTTCTTTACCCCATTGACAGATATTTGTTGTTGTTTCAAGCATAAGCTCACTTAATTTTGTTTAGTTTCTCAGAAAACAAGACTTTTTATCTTCATTTTCCATCTCAAGTAAATGTATCTTGATTTAAAGATGTTTAGTTATTTGTATTGGAAAACAAGACAAAAATAAAGAGGAAAATATTCATTTTTTCCCCGTTTATGCAACAGTTAATGCCACGACTACTTTATGAATTTAAGACTTTCAGCTCAGATTTAAGACTTTTTAAGGCCTGAATTTGTGGAAGGGCAAATTAAGACCTTTTAAGACCCACAGAAACCCTGGTTTGAAAATGTGATCTCTGTGATAAAGCTATGAATGAAAAGACTTTTGCATAAATGAACCACTATTGATGGCAAATAATTTGATGCACAATCATCACAATCTCTGTAGAATCTGCGTTCAACAAACTCGATTACTCTTGCAATGGATCCAAGACAGAAGAATGTAAGTTAATTTTATGTTTTTTTAAGTACAGCCAAAGGGTCAAGAACAAAAACATGAGAAAGAAAGTGACGCAAACCACGCTTTCTATTTTTGGCAGCTTTTTTTCTTGAGTTGTTACCTAGCTACTGCTAGCACTCAGGGTGGTACTAACACTGATGATGCAAATGTACAGTAGTTCAGAGAACTGTCAGGGGTGAAAGCTAAATCTACTAAGCTTAAGCTAAATCTACTGGTTAAAATTAGTTTTCATAGATGCTAACAACTGAAATCTCTAGTATAGCTGATTCTGATTGGTCAGTCGTGGCATTGTGGGGAAAATCGTTTTGCATTATGACATAAAATAATTTCTCAAATTTTGTGTCTATTTATTTATTTATTTGCAGAGTAGATGCATAAAAATCAAGATAATACACATTATCCTATACATACTCACCCATTTACTCATTATTACATTATTTACATTTATTAAATGTAACAGTCAGCTTAATGTGTCTGGCTGTATTTTTCTCATTTAGGCACCTGAATATAATGGATTCATTCACAATCATTTGGTGGTTTCTTCCCTAAACAAACCATAAGTAGTCTGACAGAACTAATCTAAGGTAATAAGAAGAAGCAGTTAATGCATAAAGGAAACAGAATAACTTAACAGAATAATTTGTTTGCATGTGAATGCAGGTATATATATCTGTGTGTACAGCAGGTGGATTTCCTTTATTTGTAGGGTTCTTTGGATACAAATTTGCAAAAAAAAAGTGTGAATTTTTGCACAGTTTTTTCTGCTAGTAAAAATGTACTAAGCATGAGATTTAAGTCCTGAGCTCCTCTCCTGCATCTCAAGGACTTTCCTCTGAAGATGTGTTCATATGTAGAAATTGATCTTTTGTTAAAGCTGTTTTCATACCTGGCGCTCGTAAAGGCAGCCCGTTGTCCAGCCCTCGAGGTTTAGTGGCGATGAACAGGTAGCAAAGCACACAAATAGTGATGATGAATGCTAACAGCACCACAGCAGCTATAGATAAACCAACCAGAGCTCCCAAACTGAAGAACAGAGATAGAAAAAAAGAGACAGATTAAACAGTTTACATGTGGAAATGATTTGACAAGAGCAGTTTTTTTTCCTATTCAGTCTGTTTTTCTTTAAACACCCTGCTGGCAAAATGTTTTTTAGGTATTATTTATGCTTAAAACAAGAAGTACCGGTAAATTATTATTATTTTTGCATTTAGATTTCAAAATGGTGTTTAATATATATATATCAAACATATTTATAAAAATATTTTATATAAATATATATATAAAATTATTATTATTATAAAATATTATTAGTCAGACAAGTATGTTTAGTAATGATGTTGGCCACTAATGCTGAACAGAAAGATATCTAGTAAAATCACACACACGTACACAAAATACATTTGCATATTTCTGACTTCAAAATGTGATTAGAATAAAAGACTATCACTTTCAATTATTTGGTTAGATGTTTTTCCACTTTAAAACAACTCCCTTCAAACATTCTTCTCCTCCCCCACAAGATCATGGGGTTGAAAACGCAAACAACTTTTGCAACACTTCTGCATGCCTGAGAGCAAATTAATTGGAGCTTTGAAAACAGCAAATGAGTTCTTACATAAATCAATAAATGTTAATGGATGGTTCACATCAGGGGTGGTTCTAGTATTTTGTCCTAGAGAGACCATTAGATACAAAGATACAAATTACCTAAATAAACTCAACAGTGCTTGTGAAAACTCTATTACTCTATGAAGTAAATTTGCACAAATATCTAATAAAGCTACAGAAGTTAACGTTACTTAGATAAGACAAGAGCAGTGAGTGATTCTCTATTTTTCTTTTGTTGTTTGATTAATATTTTTAACATAAGAAATGCATGGATCCGTTATATTGACATACATCCGATATTTTCTTAACAGTTTATGTTTACTTGGACTGTGTTTACCATTCTGACATAATTTTGTGTATATTTGCTCAAGAAGACGCAAAATAAAACTCGTTACTTGCGTGCTGTTTTTTGTGTGCCTGTTTCACGTGTGCGCGAACGCAGAAACGATCTATACTAGCGTGCACCGCATTGAGATCTCTTTCACACTGTCTTGCGCTTGAATGGCTTAAAAGCACTTTAACGTTTAAATTGACAAGACTTAAAACACGTGAGAATGGTAAACTTTCTTGAGGAAGCAGCACTGGCCCAGTCATTCAGATAGCTGATTATAGTTTCAGGGGGCTGAGATGACAAATGGGGGGGCTGAAGCCCATTTAAAAAAGGGTCTAGAACTGCCCCTATTTCACATTATTTGGAACGTAAAAGTTTGCATAGCAGCGGAGCATCACCTGCAGAGAAATTGCAATTAAATAGCCGCAGTGGGTCATTTAGACAACTTAAAGCTGCAGTCCGTAAGTTTTGCCTCTTTGTCACCATCTCTGTTTGAAAACCTACAATTGCAGCTATTTGCGGAATTATCTTCCTTGCGCGGGTGTGTACGTGCTCTGTGGTAGTTTACGCAAGCGCCGGAAGTGATCTCTCGCACGTTACGTCACTCATTGTTTGCACAGTCATTGTAGGTACGACGGCTAATCAAAATGGTACTTACTTGCGCTTATCCGGATTGTTCAAACCGACTTCTCACGCACCGGATGCCGTGCGCACGCTCAAAGACAGTTGGACATAGTGGTGTATTAGAGGTAAAACATGATATAAATACTGTTCGGTTTCTGGCACAAACCGATCGTTTTTGTTTGTTACCATTGCCATGCATTATACGACTGATAGACTGATATATATATATATATATATATATATACATATATAAACAATGTTTGTCTTGTGAAGATCTGTTTTGTTTTGCATCATTTTATCTTTCTTTTTCTCTACAAATGTTTTGCAGAAAATGTATTATCCGTATAACACATGTGAATTCATACTGTCAAGAAATCAAGACAAAGACTTGACAAAACAAGACTGTAATTTTTCTCTGAAAATCATGCAGTTGATGATGAAGACATGTATGAATGAGATTTACAAGTTAGTGTAACTATCATATGGCCTTGAAAGACTTGAAAAATATAGCATGAGTTTTTTAAATGTACTTTCATTTGTCTTTTTCTGAGCTTGACATTAAATCACCACCATGTTTTGTTGAATGGAAGATGTTTATCTTCCAATGTGTTCAAGAAAATAATATTGAATGACCTGCATTATGAGCATATTTCTATTTTGGAGATTGAAAATGAGCACATTTTGAGTTTTAGTTTCTTTAGTTGTTTGGTTAGATACAAGTTTTTTTTTTTTTTTTACCATTCTTCTAAAAATGTACCATAATGACCAGTTTCACAAAATATCAATTATTCTTAAAAAAAACAGGGTCAGAAACTTTGTCGTATTACGTTTTTATGACGTTGACTATAAAGTTAAAAGTGTAGCAAATAGCATGTAGCAACATATGTCATATACAGTAGAATAATTATTTTAAATTAGGGATCCATGACAAAATACACAAAATCTCGATGTCTTACCTGAGCCACCACATATATCCATACTCATAAGGGAAAAAGCTGTTGGGATCGTCGCAGCAGTATTTGACGTCATTGAACCCGCAGCAGAAAATCGCGCGCGCGTCGCTGTCGGGTTTGGGGCACGTGAAGCCGCTGACAAACACGTTCTCCGCGTTGTAATATCCCGCACAATCCGCGCTCATGCTGCCCGCGACTCGAACCCTCAACCCGTCACCTGTTGAAGCCTGAAAACCCTTATTACATTCTCTGGAGTTTCATTAGCCGGCTGTGCGTTACTCCAGTCAGTGTAACAGTGATGTGACGACTGCCAAAGATGCGCGGACGTCTGAACGTGAGACACTTTACACACACTCTATCTCTCTACACACACACACGCACGCTCTCTCTCTCTCTCTCTCTCTCTCTCAACATTCAATCACTTTGTCGCTCTCTTGTATCCACTCTCACTTTCTCCCTTTTTTAGCCTCTGTATATATATTTAGCTATATTTTATATTTGAGGTTTAGTTGTAGGCTAATGACTAAAAGATAGATATAAAGATATATAGACAGATAAGTTAGAGCTAGATATATAGTATAGTTCTAATCTGAGTATTTTCCAACAAACTGCAAGTATTGTGCAGTGATTTATTTTACAGCATGAACTGCTCTGGACTGTAAAAAAAAAAAAAAAAGCCCGTAAAATTTGCATGAACGTTTGGGCAGCGTTATGCAAATCTTCCCACAGAGCGACGTAGGTATGTTGGGGCGTGTTAGAACGAGCCGTTTTAGGTAGGCGTGGTTGACTCTTAACTTTTATAAGGAATATCTCTTTGGATTTGAGACTTTAGTCTTTGCAACTTTACAGATCTTCTTTATGCACCAAGAGCTTGTAACACTCCAAAGAGAAAGGAAAAATTGAAATCGCATCATATGACCCCTTTAAGTAAAAAGTATGGTAGCAACATTTTAGGTTTTACAGATTTAACTTAAATTTACATATAAATACTGTATTTCATTAACTGATATAATGTTAATATACCAACCTATTGAAGTATTGAAATCTGTTTAGTACTTTTTTAATACACTGATTACCACCAAAATCAGGTGGTGATGAGAAAGTCACATGATGAACCAAAGCTCATCGCTTCATTCACACAAACACAAACATCGCTTCATTCACACAAACACTAAACACCATCATGGTAACACACATGATACTGAAATAATGCAATCAACATTAATTTAACAACATTAGATGAAACATACAACCCTAATGAACATAAATGGTGAGGAAAAAACTAAGAAGAAACATAGGCTAGTTATTTCAACAAAAAAAAAAACATCAAATGTGAAATGTAACAGGGAATTCTGGGAATGTGAATTTACGTTTTTTTCACTGTAAATTACAAGTTCTTTTTCACTTCCGAAAATTGTATTTAACCATAAAATTACATGAAATGTCAAATACAGTTTTTCACCATAGACTAAGGGAACTTACCATTAACCAATTAAGAGGTTTTTACTGTAGCATTTTTACAGTCTTTTAACATTAAAATCACAATCATTTTTTTCAGTGTCGAGCAGTGGTTTTCAATTCCAGTCCTGGTGACCCACCGCTCTGCATATTTTGCATGTCTCTTTTATTTAACACACCTGATTCAGATAACCAGCTCGTTAGAAGTGAGCTACGTGCATGAACTGTGTTCTGATTGACAGGTGCATCTCAATAAATTAGAATGTCATGGAAAAGTTCATTTATTTCAGTAATTCAACTCAAATTGTGAAACTCGTGTATTAAATATATTCAATGACTTAAACTAATTCAGTCTGTGTGCATTGCATTTATTTAATACACCAGTTTCACAATTTGAGTTGAATTGCTGAAATAAATGAACTTTTCCACGACATTCTAATTTATTGAGATGCACCTGTATACGCTCCCTTCGAAATGGAATCATGATGGAATATCCTGTGAAGTCCACTTCACAGGGCACTTACGGTCGACTAGAGCAAACATCTGAAGTGATCAGAGGATCATACAAAACGTAGGACTGCAATTGAGAACCACTGCTCTAGAGAGACGTAACAGCACAAGGAAGAACGTCAGAGCATCACTGAAGTTGCCTTACACACTTCAACAATCATTCCAACTGCTTTTTTGTCTCGTTATGATATTACACGATTAATGTCCTCTGACGATTTGCAAACACTGTCTGTGTGCTCTGCACTTGCAGAAGCGCATTTGATTAAATCTTGTCAAAGAGAAGAAATGCAAGGCAATTTGTTTGCATGTTTGATGGTGGTCCAACTCATGCACGCAGTGCAAGAAGTTTTCAATAAAGAAATGCACGTTTTCACGTTTCAGTCCATTTTTCAATAATTGAAGTTTTGAACAATAAGTTTTATGTACTTGCTCAAAATATGTACACAATTTATTGTTGTTTTTACCTATAAATCTTTAATCTTCTTCAAATACTCACAGCCTCATGTTATGCAGTGCAAGTTGGACTGTAGGTGGTTTGTGAATCAAGATGTGCTAAAACGGTTATGTGATTTTTCCTCCTTGTATATATTAGTTTGTATATACCAGTTTGAATACTGATGCTGCATTGTTTTTCACTAAAGACCAGCTACAAAGCATCCAGATAGCTGAAGCTGATGCAGCGTTGCTACAGTAACATGACAGAGTCCAGAGCCTCAGGTCTACTTCCACACTTCCATCCAGAGGAAAATGAGCCCAGGTTCAAGTCAATAATAATACCCTTTTATCACCTAGGCAAGTAGAGGTCTCTCAGACATGTAACATATTTATTTGTGTCAATAATGCATGCTGGCAGATAAGATATTTTTACTCATGGACCTGCCTGAGCACTAATGTTTAAGTTTTACTCCATCTAATGAGTCAGCTGCACTGTTGGTCATATATGATTAGAAGAATGTGGAGTAAAAAAGAACAAAATAATGTGGGTGAGCAAGGGCACGGTGCGGATGACGGTGGATGAACCTAAGCAAAAAGCAAGCCAAAATAAGGAAATGTTTGGTAGAGAAAGGTCAGCAAAAAGGACAGACCATTAACACCATGTTAGAACAACAGGAAAGAGCCACTGAGTGGGGTGATTGAAACTCTTAAGAGATGTTGATGACGTGACCTTGTGTTCAACCTCTGCTTTTACTAAATCATATCACTACAAGCTCTTAACATGCCTTATCAAAACAGTCTTTCTGAATGCCTTTTCATCTGATCCGAAGAACTGTGCTGGATAGACTCAGCAGGAGAACGGGGAGAACCCATTTCAGCTTTGTGCCTCTTGTTCATTGCATTCGAAATGAAAGATTCGAGTTACAAATGGCCGTTACTTTTTAGCCCTGTGCTCTTCAGCCCTGCAAAGATCTCATAGTAGAGGCCTTCAAAAGGGGAGCATGGATGTTCACGCAATGACTTGTAGTCAAGTCATTTTATCTGTTGTTTTTTTTTGTTTGTTTTTTTTAGGTTAAGACAACAAATAATTTTTGTTTTAACAGTCAACACAAAATAAAATGTAAACAAATATCTCCTTTCTTATATTTTTATATGCAGATTAAATAAGGAAACTTTTGTCTCCTGAGGCCACAGGAGGGCGCAATGAGCAAAATGATGCTCTGCATTGAATTGTTTATAACGACTGTCTTTTTTAAAAAAGTGTCTAAACTAACATTTATAAATCAAATATATTTTCATAAATTGCATAAACAATTATGAACAAAACAGCATCATGTATTTATGCATAGCTCACAGTTTATCTCAGTCGCATTGGTGCATTTCTCAGATCAGAAATGAAATTCTCCAAACTACTTGTTCAACCTCCACATCATCTAGTCAACTGTGCACATCGTAAAAGCAGTTTCTCATTATTTTAAGCAAGTTGTGATTGCGTTGGTACATTCATGCTATTGATTATGTACATTTGTCTGCGGTTTCCTATATTATCAGTTGCTAATATAATGTATTACAGTTTTTACTCCGTCGCTTTGGTGCATTTCTCGAATCATCCTTAATATTTGCAAAGAAGTATGTGCATTTCTCAAAACAATTTGTACAAACAGCACCACACAATGGATTACCTGCAAAAGCCTGTAACTTACTCAAAATCTTTTGTTCATCTCTCAAAAGTAAGTATTTATGTCAATGAACATATCAGTGGCATCAGAATGAAAAGTCCTTGAGTCATTGTTCACAAGCAATATAGTCAAAATGCTTAGTCATGTTGTCAATATAACAGTGCACTCTGTCTGATGTAAACTATGGCAACAGTTTGGATGACAGTTACTGTATTGAAATGCAGAAGGCTGCACTTCTTATGTGTGCCATATATCCATTTCAAAAGTACAAATTTATACATTACTGTATGTGGGATTTTGATTGAAAGAGACTGGATAGGATTCACAGTAACACTTTACTAGACAAAAAAACAAAAAACATTACGTCATTGTGATATAGAAAAGAAATATGGGCACAAAGGCAAAAATACAAAATTAGAAAGGCAAACACAGGAAACACCCCTTATGCAGAACATTGCTTTTGCATGCAGCACTGTATGAGGAATTGCAGTGCAGTCTGTCTACACCTCCTGACGTGTCAGCCGGTCGGCCCATAGATTCTCATCTACATCACAACGAATATCTTCCCTTGCAATGCAATGTGGAATTGGAATCAAGTGAACCATCTCACAACTTCATATATGTGGATGAGGCTGGTTTCAACCTGACCAAAAGCAGTAGGCGTGGTTGAAATGCCATCAGCCACAGAGCTACTGTTGAAGAATTTGTAACTCTTGTGTTGTCCTCTGTCTAAATATGCTTTCCAATTGAAGGTTCATGAGATGCACCTTTGAGCAATTTCAGAGAACTGGTTTATCATTAGCTGATCTACATTCTCTTCATTAGTGAAAGTAAAGATTCACCTGCGCAATTCATGGCACATTTACAATAGAAATGTGTAGAAAAAAATGCTTGACAGTTTATGACAACTAGATCAACCATTTTGCATTTAATGACTTATATTCTCGAATCATCCTTAATATTTGCAAAGAAGTATGTGCATTTCTCAAAACAATTTGTACAAACAGCACCACACAATGGATTACCTACAAAAGCCTGTAACTTACTTGAAATCTTTAGTTCATCTCTCAAAAGTAAGTATTTATGCCAATAAACATATCAGTGACATCAGAATGAAGTCCTTGTGTCATTGTTCACAAACAAGATAGTCAAAATTTTTAGTCATGTCAATATAACAGTGCACTCTGTTAGAATTACTTGATGTAAACTATGGCAACAGTTTGGATGACAGTTACTGTATTGAAATGCAGAAGGCTGCA